CGGCTGCACACTTTTGAATTGTGTAATGTTTCAAAATAAATGACATATTTGGACTATTTGCAAGTGGAGTAGGTGAAGGAGTGCACATTAACTATAGCCATGTGCACGCTCCGTATCTTTATATACATAGTTTCATAGTAATGGAATGCAAGAAAATTCTCTTATCCTGATATGATTAGATTCAAGTTATGATGACAGTGCCATTGGTAAGTCCCATCACTGTAGGCTGCCTGGCAAATCATGACAGTCAAGTTGAACAACACAATGGGCATAGGGGGGCTGCGGAGGAAATTGAGGAGGGAAACGATATGTCCTTCAGTGGAACTTACAGAGACCTGTTGACTCTGATAGGGGGTTGTAAGTCAGGATCAATTACAGCTGTCAAAAGTGTAGGGGCCACTGGAGTATATATGTTGGCCCTGCAGCAATTTTCCTGCATGTAAAGGTAAAGGTAAAGGACTCCTGAGAGTTAAGTCCAGTCGCAGACGACTCTGGGGTTGTGGTGCTCATCTCTCTTTACAGGCCGAGAGAGCCGGCGTTTGTCTGCAGACAGTTTTTCCAGGTCATGTGGCCAGCATGACTAAGCCGCTTCTGGTGAAACCAGAGCAGCGCACGGAAACGCTGTTTACCTTCCCACTGGAGCTGTATTTATTTATCTACTTGCACTTTTTGGCGTGCTTTCAAACTGCTAAGTTGGCAGGAGCTGGGACCGAGCAACAGGAGCTCACCCCATCGCGGGGATTCAAACCGCGACCTTCTGATCGGTAAGCCCAAGAGGGTCAGTGGTTTAGACCACAGTGCCACCCACGTCCCATTCCTGCATATACTGCTGCCCCTTTTCTTCTATTTCTGAAGGAGATTCTGAACATGTTCAGCTAAATTTGCTTCAAATAATCTGTGCCTTTGAGAACTCCATGCAATCTGGGTTCATGATTGCAGAGAGGATTCTGAGTGCGTTCAGCATGCTGCGGTTACTGCTGCTGCTGAATTGCAGTGACAAGATCTAGGATGAAGAACTTTCTGTCTCTTTTCTTACCTTCACAAAAGGATCATCTTTTCTTTTCTTTTTGCTGGTTGCCTGTGATTCGTATTTCTACGCATTTTTTTTTTTTTACATAAGCCATAATTATAACAAGTATTAGGAATCTTTATTGGCATAAGCCCTGTCTATTCTACTGATTTTGATAATGAATGCTAATAAATAGAGTGCCAGCTTTTCCTGTGTGGCCTCCCTACAATTTCTTAGCAGTGCATATCCAATTTTTGGCACAGTGTATTAAACCACACTACTACAGGCACAAACACATTTGGGAAATGTGCTGAAGTGGCAGTTGTGTCTCCCCCCCCCCCCCCGGGGATAGTGCTTCTTTAATCTGTCTCTAGGCTGAATACAACTACAGTGTGGTTTCTTTCAAGGAGGAATCTTTACTGACTGATCATTTACTTATATGGTTATTTTTCAGATCTGCAGAATGTCTCTTCTCTTCCAGCCCACCCCACTTTTAAAGTGATGGGAATTTAGCAGTGAAATTTTATAAGATGTTGCAGAGTTTGTTGGGTGAAATGCACGTTTTCCACGTTTTCGTGTATACAACTCATCAGCAAGAAATGTTTGTTTTCTCTAACTGAAAACATTGTTATAGCATTTCATAGATGCTGTGATCTTTTGTTTTTAATTGGTCTTTGTAGCTTCTCATATAATTGTCCTTTTAAAGGATCATTTTTGGTGACCCTAAGGCAGTGATGACCAAAATTGGCCCTCCAGCTGTTTTTGGATTACAACTCCCATGATCCCTAGCTAACAGGACCAGTGGTCAGGGATGATGGGAATTGTAGTCCCCAAACAGCTGGAGGGCCAAGTTTGGCCATCACTGCCCTAAGGCGATGGAGCTCAGTCAACTCCACTCTCTATCTGCAACAACTGTGTCCACCTGTGGGAAGGCAGACATCATGTTTCTAAAATCGAGGAATCAGACAACTTATGGAGGGCAATGAATATGTCTGTATGGAGCTAGCCTGCTTGTTTCTGTGCCCCCGCATGTGTTTGCCGAACATGAGCGGCAAAACCTCCTGTTCTCTAATTTTTCAAAACTTACATGCCATGGGGGGGGGACATGGGTGGCACTGTGGGTTAAACCACAGAGCCTAGGACTTGCCAATCAGAAAGTCGGCGGTTCAAATCCCCACGACGGGGTGAGCTCCCGTTGTTCGGTCCCTGCTTCTGCCAACTTAGCAGTTCAAAAGCACGTCAAAGTGCAAGTGGATAAATAGGTACCGCTCTGGCAGGAAGGTAAGCGGTGTTTCTGTGCGCTGCTCTGGTTCGGCAGAAATGGCTTAGTCATGCTGGCCACATGACCCGGAAGCTGTACGCCAGCTCCCTCAGCCAATAAAGTGAAATGAGCGCCGCAACTCCAGAGTCGGCCACGACTTGACCTAATGGTCAGGGGTCCCTTTACCTTTATATGCCATGGGTACCAGTAAAAAATGTGTTGAATGGTTCAATTTTAGGAACAGGCAAGGCTCCCAGAGTGACTCTGATCCCTGTTCATGATCAGAGGTCTGCAGTATTTCCACCCCCACTTTATGACAGCATTGAAGGGTTTATGTAGCTGTGTCACCCACCTTCCTGTTCTTCTCTTAATTTATTTTAAATACAAATAGAAATTGGACAGATAACTAAAGCTTACTTTATATTGTTTAATATTTGAAATGAACAAAGGTCTTTAAATAACTCCTGGCAGTTTGATTTTGTGATAAATAAAAATGTAGATTCTGTAAGGAACCGGTCTGCTGAGAGACATCAAGGAAACTGCAAAGCTAGTGCTTGGAGTGACTGACTCATATATCAACTGTGACTTTGTGGGTGTAATGAGAATGTCAGCCATTTGACTTTGTTATGGCTGAACAGTGCTTCTGGGTGAAATTTTGCAAGCACACAAACAAGTGGAAATATGTTTCCCCAGTCTGTATATCTTGTGATACATAAAAGAGGGATTTTTTAAAAGGTAGCTTCTATCCTGTAAATGAGATTTGCTTTAGAAATATACGTGCATTTATATAGGCAGACTACTTTACCTCTTTGATATCTAAGAATATTCCATTATATGGGATGAATTGCTTAATAACCCCTTCATTGTTTTTATCCTAAAGGTTAAATTTTAAACATTCATAGATGGAACATGGTATTCAAAAGGTGCAGCACACGTTGTACATGTGGCTTGCAATAAATGAATTGGGCACTGAGCCATCACCTGGTGGCAAAGCACATGATGTGGATACAAAATGGACCAGGCGTGATCCCTGGCACCTGAACTGTGGATGGCTCCTGTCTGAAGCCTGAGAGCGTTGCTGAAAGACAGTGTAGATAAAACAGAGCTTGACGAACCAATGATCTGACTTATTATGTGGCACCTTTCTATGAACATAGATAATATTCCTTCCTATGAACAGAGCTCCTTTTTTTTTGTAAAAGTGGAAAATGAAGTTGCAGCATTGTAACAGGACATTTACTCAAAGATGAGTACTGTACCTAACTCACAGCCACCAGTTTAATATTCAAAACACAGCTTTGTAGCCCATATTATTCAGAGTACAAGAAAGAACGGGTTTTATTTTTCTTTCAGTTTAACAAGAATTTCTAATGTGTTAGGATACATGTTTTGGCTGCTGTCCTTTTGTGGTCCCCACTTATTCCTATAACATAGTACTTCCCAGTGAGAAAATTTCTGAGAAAGTGTGCAGAGGTTAAAAAAGAGCTCTAAAAATATAAAAAGAGACAGGGTGAGATCTCTCCATAAAAGACTGAAACATATAAACATGATTATGACTTCGTTTTTCAAATTCACTAATGTTTCCTTTTCCATTGGCCATTATAAAGCGCTAATAATTTCTGGCTGTAATGCAGAGACAACAACCATGTGCATATACAGCCAAAAGAAAAAGGAAAAAAAGGCAGCAGTGTTTGAAATTCATTGTACACAAGGAACTGTCCACTAGTAATACCTCATATATACAACACTACAACGAAATCTTTTGTACAAAATTCATTTTAGTGGAACATGTGGGAGAGAAGGACTGCTTGGACTGTATCTGTTTACCTTAGTTCTCTTTATTATGTAGCACTTGCTTTCTGTATTTCTCTCTCTCTCTTGCCATTTCAGTAAGAGGCAGATATGTAGTATTATGTTTTGATTTCTCGGTTGCTAGTGTAACATAAAAATAAATAAATCGAAACAACTGGGAGGCTTGCATGTAACGTAAGTGGTATGGGTACTTAACAATACTTAAGTGATGCATTTCCTAAAAATGAATGCTCAACTCATACATATCAGGCAGGGTTAATGTAGGTAGTCCATATGTTTTAAGAGCAAAATAATTATATGATATTTTGAAGCTTACGTTTACATTTTTATCAACATGACCCAATACAATGCCCACAATATGTGGTTGGACAGCCCGCATCATCCCTGAAAATTGGCCATGCTGGCTGGGCGTTGGAATCAGAAATATCCGGAGGATTCCAGGTTGGAGAAGGCTGGTCCAAATGTTCAGTAATGAATTACTGTGTGTAATATAGACAGATATCAGTATTTCCTGATCTACCTTCTGCCTACCACTAACTCTGATGCAAGACTAGGAGAGTGATAAATCTGTTCCCATGTAAAAGTAATATACCATCTCTACTTGGAAGTTATGACTTATTATAACATTGTCTGCCTAGACTCTGAGATGAACTCTTGGTTAGTGTGGAATGCTTATATTCCATATGCTCTCTTTTCACGTGTGCATCTTTTATTCACTGTGTGAACCTTGAGACAGACTGGGGCAGACCTTCACATGTTGTGGACAACACTTTCCATCAGCTCCAGTAGGCATGGCTGATGACTCACTGAATCATAGA